ACTTCAGCTAAATACCATTTTGAAGCCCTCGTCAAGGGCTACAATCTCAAAAAAAAATTGATCCAAAATCTTTGACAGGTTTCGAGAAAATTGAGTTTGAAAATTTTGATATTAAAATCCAAACCCTTTGAAAAAATCGAAATTTTTATTTTTCAGATTTTTTGAATTTTGACTTTTCCAATCGATAGAGCGGATCTAAATTAGTCGAAAAAAACTCTAACATCATTTCCAAATCTCGATTTCAAAAGGGGAAAAAAATCAAAAAGGGAATCTCAATTTTCAGATCTAAATTTTTTTAAAATCCTGACAAGGTTAGGAGCAATTGCCAATACTTCCATTAAATTTTGAGCAAATCAAATTAAATTATATATGGTTGGAAAGAGCATTAAATTCTCTATAAATCAGTGTTAGATTGAGTTTAATAATGCAAATACTTTTGGACTAATTGAGCCTCAAAGTTGGATTTTAGTTGAAATTTAATCAAAAACTTCAAACTCGATTTTCTCAAAAACCGTAAATGCCAACGACTTGAATTGAGTACCATTTTGAAGCCCTTATTAGGAGCTACAATTACAAAAAATTGATCCAAAATCTCTGACTGGTGCCGAGAAAATTAAAGGACACACTTCTTATGGGATTTTGGTTGAACGCGGAATCTGACCAAATTTTGGTATGTTGTATATTTCGACCTCCTGAGTAAAAGTTCTCATGGGCACAAACCGATCCTATGACTAGTTTTGGATATACGGGGGTTTTTCTAATACTACCTCAGGCAACCTGAAACTACTGAATTTTTCTGCTTTTTGCGTTTATTTGTGGTGGGTAGCTTTAAAAAATGTTGATTTAGTTTAGACCTTTTACGCAAACGTGCATGCTTTAAGTTAGGTGCCTATATATGTATATGTACGAGGGTATTTTAAAAAGTACTCGTTTGGTGGGCCTTTGTAATAAAATAGGTACCTACGTCATAGTATTCTATAGCATATCATATAAGTAGGGTATATCAAGGGACACACCCATATTATCAAGGATGCAACCAGACTTCTTAGAATTAAAAATAAATGTGATCAAGCTTGAACCTATTATGAAAACATACATATTTTCATTTACCTAGGTAGGTACCTATTTATGTCGAGGGAGTTTTAAATAGCAGATATACTTGTTTTAACCGACCATTAGATTAGGAATGCCTATATTTATTAGGTAAAACAGAAAAGAAACATTTTTTTTTTTGCATTTAAATGAGAAAAAATTCATAATTCCATTTCTGAGCTTGATATCCATTCGCAGTTTGTTTTGTTTGATAAAAAGACACTACTCAATAAATCCTGAAAGTTTAAAGTCCCTTTGATTGCTTGAAGTATTTTTCAGAAGCTTCTAGAAGTAGTTTGATAGAAATATTTAAAGATTTTTTGCATTTAAATGAGAAAAAATTCATAATTCCATTTCTGAGCCTGATATCCATTCGCGGTTTGTTTTGTTTGATAAAAAGACACTACTCAATAAATCCTGAAAGTTTAAAGTCCCTTTGATTGCTTGAAGTATTTTTCAGAAGCTTCTAAAAGTAGTTTGATAGAAATATTTAAAGATTTTTTGCATTTAAATGGGAAAAAATTTATAATTCCATTTCTGAGCTTGATATCCATTCGCAGTTTGTTTTGTTTGATAAAAAGACACTACTCGATAAATCCTGAAAGTTTGAAGTCCCTTTGATTGCCTGAAGTATTTTTCAAAAGCTTCCAAAAGTAGTTTGATAGAAATATTTAAAGATTTTTTGCATTTAAATGAGAAAAAAATCATAATTCCATTTCTGAGCTTGATAACCATTCGCGGTTTGTTCTGTTTGATAAAAGGACATTACTCAATAAATCCTGAAAGTTTAAAGTCCCTTTGATTGCTTGAAGTATTTTTCAGAAGCTTCCAAAGGTAGTTTGATAGAAATATTTAAAGATTCCACTCAACTTTGTGTGTGTCGAAATAAAATCTTCAGAATAGTGGGGTGGGATCTTCTTGGAGCGTGATTATTTCTTCATTGATGCTTCGAATACATCCCTCACAGAACCTGAAATAGTTATTTTCTAACTAGTGTGGAAAGTGGTAGTTTTCTGCGCGCGATGGCAGTTACACGAACGACGCAGGGCGAAGTTTGCGGGCAATCCGACAAGGACGGAAATGACACTTTACGCAAAAGTTAGGTATAATTTTTTTCTTCAAAAAAAGACAATTCGCTTTATTGACAGAATCACTGAGACCCTATCATGAGGCAAAAAACTTTTATTACGAGCGGAGCGAGAACTGACATTCATTGAGAGATAGGAATTTTTATCACAAAACGTAGGTACTTACAAGTATACAATTTTTCACACTTTTGAACATTTTTGGTCATTTACTGACTCACCTTAGTAATAGCCCTAGTTTTTGAGCGTCCCTGGTATATAAAAGAAGAATTACGAATACCTATTAAACATTTTTAGTCAAGGAAAGATAAAATAAATAACGTTAAAAGCAATAAATGCAAGCTTTTTTGCTTTATGTTCACTTTATATATAGGTAGTTGGGTTGTCTAAGGTAGTATTAGAAAAACCCCCGTAAATCCGAAACTAGTCATAGGATCAGTTCGTACCCATGAGAACTTTCACTCAGGAGGTCGAAATATACAACATACCAAAATTTGGTTAAATTTCGCGTTCAACCAAAATCCCATAAGAAGAAATCCCAAATCCCTTTGCAAAAAAATTCAAAAACTCAAAATTTTCATTTTTCAGATTTTCGTGATTTTAACTTTTCCAATCGATAAAGCGGGTCTGAATTAGTCGAAAAAAAATCTAACATTATTTCCAAATGATAATTTTAAATGAAGATTTTTTGGATCTAAATTAAAAAAAAAAAATCGTGACATGTTCATGAACAATTGCCCATATCTTCATTGAAATTTGAGCAATATAAAACATATCGTATATCATTGAAAAGACCATTAAATTTCCTATAATTCTGTGCTAAATTGGATTTGGTAGCTCAAATACTTTTTGATCAATTGAGTCTTCTCAAAGTTGAATTTTACTACAATCACTGATCAATAAATCCCATGTATTCCCAAGAATTACAACTAGTTACTTATGATTGTTAAATATTTTACCAGGTGATTTCCATTTTTTTGGGGATTCCTATATCATTCTCAATTGATTACCTGATTTCCTCTAAGCAATCATTTGATTCTCAAAACAATATCCAATTGTTGAGCTTCTTAAGATATTGTGCAAAATGTGGCAACGATGAGCCACATTTTCTCCTGTACCATATGGCATTATCGAATTTCGAATCCGACATTTTGTCTATGGACTACAATGTCATCTAATAGTCAAACTGTCAAACGCAAATATTATAATTTTTTTCGACAGTTAACAAAAATTCAACTAATTGGAGTTTCTTCCCCTACTCAATTCAGAAAATAAAAAAAAATTACAGAAAAATTGAGACTAAAAAACCAGGTACACATGATGAAGGTGACCACACATAAAAACCCTCGCCCCTAGGGACTCGTAATTTAAAAAGACCCCGGCCCTCTGGGCTCGTAACTTAAGAAGACCCCGGCCCTTCGGGCTCGTAAATTAAAAAGACCCCGACCCTATGGTCCTGCGAAATGTTGCTGTCAAACTTACGATTTTTTTTATTAAAACTACGTCTTTTGAAGCTCTATTTTTGCTTAATTGTTTTATTCAATTTGCATTATTTTCAACGGCATTAGTGTGCACTAAGTATATTCGTGTCTTTTTTTACTAGTTTGTATAAGAAAGAGATAGAAATACATTTTTTCTGAACTGGTTTTAACAAAGGATTTGTTAAAATTCACAAAATTATTAGGTTTTAGAAGAAAAATTTAAAACGTAGCAACCCTAGACTAAAAATATAGTAACCCTAACGCAACTTAACGTTTCAAAGTAGGCCCTGTAGTTTTTGACAGTTAATTTTGAAATGGCTGGGTTGTTTCCAAGACCTACTTGATTTGATAAATTTTTTGCTTACAGTTATCTGTATTACCTACATCGATTAAAACCTGGGCTAGGATCACGACAAGTAGAATTCCACTAAAATTCTACTTTCATGACATTAGGTTGCCTAGCAACAGTGATTATTGCCTGTAGTATACGCGATAAATAGGTCGCGGGTGACGTCATGAAAATAGAATTCTACTTGTCATGATCCCAGCCCAGGATTGCTTCAAGGTTCACTTAGTTTTTGATAAGTAGTAATCTTATCGCTTGTCATAAATGATATTTGACATTTTGCCCAACAGTGTTGCCGATGTTTATATAATAACTGTTATGGAAATTTTGAAATTTGCCTACTTGGGTTTTTTTTTTATAAATTCAAGCCTCAATGACGCGAATTTTCCTGAAAAATCAACTTCTGGTGATTTTTTTTTAATCTGGTCATTTTTCATTCCAATTTCTGGTGAATTCAATTTTTTTGACCTGGCAACAGTGGTTGTCTGGAGGGAAACAGATAACGTCATCTGGAGTGCCTAATGGGGATTTGCATTATGTTTGGGCAACCCAGATGACGTGTCATAAAAGTTATCAGGCAACCTATTTCTCTCACACGATCTTGGGATGGCTCAAAATATTTTTCAGGAACCCTCAAATACGACTTTACAGGAATTTTATGATTTTCCCAGGTATTAATGAGTGAAGAAACTTACAACTTTGGTTGGGAGTTTCATATCAACTTCCAATTTGTTTTGTATCATGAGAAAACTATAATTAATAAATCGTGTAAGTTTCAAATTGCTGGGATGCCTAGAAGTATTTTTCAGGAACCTTCAAAGACGATTTTACAGGAATTTCATGATTTTCTCAAGTCAAAAATTTGCAACTTAAGCTCACTTAAAAACCGTACGACTTCGTTATAAGGGTGTTAACACACATCTCTCTGACCAACAACGAACCTTTCGAAACTCATCCAAACGCCCCTAATTCTAACCCTTCAAAAATTACTTTTAGATTCATCATAATGCCGAACGGCGCCAAAGCAGAATTACTCCACACGTATAGCCGAAATTAAATTTTGCTCAATAAGCCATAGCTAGATATGGCTTTTTACATTAAAATGACTGCGCCTAGGGCGACAACGAGGCAAAAGTGACTCAAAAATGAAGCCGATTACTTTCGAAAACCTCCGCAGACTTATCGGCGGAGGCCGCAAGAAAAAAGACAAAGATGGGTCGTCGTTTAAGCGCAGCGATTCGTTTAAAAGGATATCGATACGGAAGAGTTACTTGGACAGAGGCAAAAAGAAGACCAACATACCGAAACTTGAAGTGGCCACTCAAACAGTGTCCGAAGAAGAACTTCTAAGTAACATTCCGGAAGAATCTGTAAAAAAAGTGGACTCTTCGGTACAAGTCGACAACAACAGTGTGGTGGTTTACAGTAGGTGGCTTCAAGAAATCAAACGGGACGAACCTGTAGCTTCTCGACCAATCAAAGGCTCAGAACGCACCATTATCTACGTTCCAGCTTCTGACGAAAAAAGTCCCGTAATACGCCAACTATCATCGTCACCAGTGTTTAGAAAAAAAAACATTTCCTCCACTCATATCAGTCCCAATAATCTACAACGCACCCAAAGCAACGATTCCGCAGTCGAAATGTTCCCCTGGGGTGATGCTACTGAAGTCAAAAAAAGCCCTCTACTACGTAGACGTTGCCCCACTCCATTACTTCCGAGCGACTCTACCGAAGAGCTGTGTTCGTTGTCCATAAGCCTCGGCAGGATTTGGATGGACGCTCCACAAGCCATGGCACCGAGAAGCTTGGAAATGCCCAAAGCCTCTTCAACCAACCCTCCACCTGCTCACCATTCTTTAGACAGCGCCCTCAAAGACCCAGTATCGAACCGTTTACAAAAACGCTCCACACCTCCGGTAACCAGGACATTGAGCTCAACCAGTAATAACACAGCTTCAACTGGATTATTTTCGAGCAAAGATTCCGGGTTCAGTTTTTCCATAAGTGCTCCCAAGTTGAGCGACTTTCATGCTAATTTCAGTCCGAACGGTTCCAAGGGGTTTTTTAGGAAAAAGGCCCGGACCAAACCGAAACTGAGTGTCAGTAGGGACGGGTATTTTAAAAGGACTAGTAGTGCTATAGTGGAAACTAGGAGGAATTCGTTGAGGAGGAGTAGTAAGAAGAAGAAGAGTAAGGGGAAGAAGAGTAAGAAGAAGGAGAAAGATAGTGGTAAGTGAGAATTTTTTTTATTATTAATTTTTTCACCCAATTTACTTGAAAATCATCCGGCTTTTAATGTAGAAAACGATATTACGAATTTAATCGGATGCCCTTTGGATTGACAAATGCCCCTGCCACATTCCAGAGAGATGTTTCCTGTTTCCAGGGCTTTGTGAAGTAGATAGGCACACATGAAGCACAAAAGTTGAATTTTACGTAATCGTTAATTGCTTCAATGTGCTTCAATTCCCAAATTAGCGACTCTTATATTTTCGAAGATATTTCGGTTTTTAGAAATCGCCTGCTGACTACACCCTACAGGAACAAGGGAAGCACCAACGTTCAGTTACAGATGAATGGTTAGTGCTCCAATGTGCTTCAATCCCTAAATGAGCAACCCCTATATTTTCACAGATATTTATTTCTGTTTTCAGAAATCGCCTGCTTACTTCACACCCTATGTAATGATTATTTGAAGCATGCCCTAGCGTGTTTAAGTCCAGCTTTTTAAAGGCCGAATTTATAGTCGCTCCTTGAGGTTTCATGAAAGTTTAAGTGCAAAAAAATCTAAGAATTATTATTTAATCCGCATGTTGCTACGATGAACCGTTTTCGAGTTAGGACGGTTTAAAGTGACAAACGCCTAGGCTGTGACGTCACACCGGCTTCGAATCGGAGGCACAGTAGTAAAGGTGCAACACCGGTTCTAGCGCAAAATCGGTCATTTTCTGTTGGGAAAAATCTATAGTTTTAAAAATAATTATAAAATATATGTTGATTTGACACCATTCTATTGGCAATTGAAGGATGTGTGTTAAAAGTCAATAAATAATAGTCAATGTCAATATATAAATGAGTGCAGAAGGTTTTGTAAAGTTAGTTGTCGTAATAAAAGAAGCTCTTGGAAAATCCAGAACACTGGAGTGCGTTTAAAAATAGAGTATGAAGTTAGAGTTGTTTGCCAGGGGCCTTATTCTGTAAAGAACGAACCGTTCGATTCGGTAGAATTTCTTCGATTGTGACGTCATTTTCGGCATTTTCGGAATAGCTTCCGCGCTAGCAAACCGAAAATGACGTCACAATCGAAGAAATTCTACCGAATCGAACGGGTTGTTCTTTACAGAATAAGGCCCCAGAGTAGGTATTCTGACGTTATCACTTGGAGTGCACTCTGGGTGCGCCTTTTCTGAACGTAATTAGGGTGTTGCGCTAAATGTCAACGTCAAACCCGGTAAAAACCACGGGGCGTTTTTCAACCCAGTCTCTGAGTGGGGTATAATTTGGGCGCACTCTGGGGCCTTATTCTGTAAAAAACGAACCGTTCGATTCGGTAGAATTTCTTCGATTGTGACGTCATTTTCGGTTTGGTAGCGCGAAAACCAAACCAAAAATGACGTCACAATCGAAGAAATTCTACCGAATCGAACGGTTCGTTCTTACAGAATAAAGCTCTGGGTTTACTGGGTACGTCAACTCTCGAATTCGGAACGATTCCAGCGTAAAGCTCCGAATAAGCATCTGTTAATTTATGAACGGTTTAGAGTTACTCTAGGGTCACTCTCACACCCAGAGTGCTATTTCTAAACCCTACCCATTAGTTATTGAAATATAAAGTAAAATAAAGTAATAATTTACAAAATTATCCCATGTAAGTCTTGATAAGAAAATCTAAGTTCCGTTCTGGCAATTTTCGTACCATTTTGGAGTGAGGGTAAACCTTCCAGTAATAAGCCCGTGTCTTGTATCGATCGCACTTTAGAGCAGGTAGAGGTAAGGAGGAGTAGTAACATGGATTTGGAAAATGAACCCGTTTTTTTCCAGGTATTTTGGCACCAAAAAAATGGCGGTATAGGCACTTGGCTTCACTTTACAGTTTCAAAAGCAGAATGGCGCGTTCCTACTCCTCATGTCCGTAGAACAGTGCTTTACCTGCTCTAAGGTATAAGGATCGCACTAGTTGGTTAGTCGCCGCTGCTACAGGGTCATCGACCTGGCTCCAAGCGGCTCATCGAACCCACACAGCACCTCGTGATTTGGTATCTCATTCAAGATGCCTCGTACTAATGATGACGTAACTAATAATAAAATCCGCCTCGTGCTTTGTCTAGTTGCACGAGGCGGAAGTCAACTTTAAGGTTAGGAGTTTTAGGTTATGTAAATGGGGCCCGGAAAACAAAGCGCCAGAAATTGGGGGCCCGTAATACGGGTCAGTTCAAAAGCTGTATCAGACCCAATGATCTATTATCCCAGATAGACGGATTTATAAACAAAAATATATGTTGGCAACATGTCCGATTCTTTATATCCTGACCAAACTCCCCCACTACTAAAATGCTACATTTAGTCGTAGAAATATTTATTTTCTCTTTCTAACACAAGTATTAAGTCCTGCCTTTCAATTACACTTGGCCACACAGCACTAGACTAAGCTCGGCCTCATGCTTGTCGTAGTAATACGTTGCGTTCTCGCCCAAAGTATCTTGTTGTCTCTATTTTATGCGATGATGATTAGTATATGTTAAAAAAAGACCGATACATAATAAGATATGTTCGTGTTAGCCTGGAATACTTTACGAATATCATCGTTTTGATTTTGGGGAGGGACCAATTAGATCTGGTCCATGACAGGGAACAGCTGTTGAGGCCGGACTTAGATCGGGCGCCTTATCCCCACCATGGACTGCCCGTACCCCAAATCCCCCCTGGCTTATAAACATGTTGTCAACACAACCAATAGTATTTTATGAATGGAATACTGTGTCTATCTGTGATAATAGGTCATTGATCAGATCTGTCTAGCTATATACAGACCTGTCTCTAAGTAGATAGTCAAAGCGGGTTCTAGCATCAAAATCCGACCATAACCTCAATCTTGCATTTTTGACACGAAGGTGGATGCGTCGGCGGCATCTTGTCATCTATCAAACGTCATGGCGCCATTTGTCGAGAGTGCGGTGAATTCTTGCAATTGATCGACAAGGGTTCGAAATTACAGTTTCCTAAAGGCGCCGCCGATCTAGAAATTTTCCCACGGTATCGAAAAATTTCTCAGGCTCAGGTGCGCCCATTACTACTAACCTGTCTGGAAAAGCTGCCTGTGTAGACAGACCTGTCTCGAAAAGCTGTCTTTATAGACAGACCTGTACCATAAAAAAGCTGTCTGTCTATAAAGACAGCTCTTTGAGACAGGTCTGTCTACACAGGCAGCTTTTCCAGACAGATTAGTAGTAACGGGCGCACCTGATCCTGAGAAATTTTTCGATACCGTGGGAAAATCTCTAGACTAGCGGCGCCTTCAGGAAACTGTAATTTCGAACCTTTGTCGATCAATTGCAAGAATTCACCGCACTCTCGACAGATGGCGCCATGACGTTTGATAGATGACAAGATGCCGCCGACGCATCCACCTTCGTGTCAAGGACGGCGCACCCTTCCTTCGTGTCAAGAATGCAAGATTGAGGTTAAGGTCGGATTTTGATGCTAGAACCCGCTTTGACTATCTACTAGGCGATTTCAAAAAAACGAAATATCTCCAAAAACACAAGTATTACTAATTTGGGAATTGAAGCACATTAAAGCACCAAACGATTACGTAAAATTTAACTTTTGTGCTTCAAATGTGCCTGCCTACTTCACAGAGCCAATTTCCAGTCCAAAATCTTAGTCTACACATTTGGATGCTTTTCCAGTTTTCAGAATAATTACATAAGTCCATGACCTTTCCAACTGTTTATCCAAAGAGGTGAAAGTACGTTAGCTATCCAATTATCTCACCCCGTAAAAAATATTTCAGCCTCCCAAGCTCCACTTGTTGTCTGGCTGCAAAAAAAAGCTCATTCTCACAAAAGATAACTCGAGGGACCCTTAAAGTTAATGGACTTTTTTGTGTTTCTTCATAATATCAAATAAAATCTCTTTTTAGGTACAATTCGCAGCGATATTTACCAAGTGATCTGCTCGAGACCGCAACGAGCGATAACCGCTTTAAAACTCGACCCCATGATTTTCGTGCCGCCTGAAAAACGGAAAACCGTCTCGTCGAAACCCCTATTTAAAACAAAAATGCAAGAAATACGAAATTTTAATCCTCTAGATTCGAATATGTATTCGACTACTCGGAGTATGGAGAGTACTGATGAAGGACTCTATGAAAGCTTACCAGGTGATTACGAGTATCTTACCGATGATGAGGAAATTAATTTGGAAAGCTTTTCAATGGAGAAAAAGGCAGATATAAACACTGGCGGTTATGGGGTAGTGAGGAAGTTTTATAAAAATGAACATATTAGGTAAGAAACCTCATTTATATGATAAATTTAAGTTAATAACTGTTTTGCAAAAAGGTTACAAGAAGAAACAAGAAGGTACCAAAAGCGATATTCGTATCGCGAGCCTGTTAACAACGACCTGGAGGACTTTTCCGAAGAGGACGACTCCCTGGTGTCGATTGTCAGTGATAGTAATTCTAGTGATACCGAATCGAATGTTTACGTACCACCGGGAGTGTCGCCGGTGCCGCGCAGACGTCCGGTGAGACGGAAAAAATCCGGACTGAGTCATAAGAGGAGCATCACTTATTTGGTCAAGCCTACTGTCATTAGGGCGCCGAGTACTTTGAGGAGGCCTACAAAGAAAATAGGTAAGAATTATCATTAGTTTAGTCTATTAGGTAATCGATATTATCAGCAAATACAGGATACCTACAGTAATTATCAACAGTTACAGTAATAAATCAAAATCACTTCCGATACAAATAAAATCCTTGGTTGTGTGAAAAGTTTGTTATAATCTCTTTGGTTGCGCGCTTTATTACGAAACCGCGCAAACTTTGGTTGCAAGTTGACGTAATTTAAGTAGTTGTAAGTTCAGAACAACTTCCCGGTTTTTTCTCGGATATGAAGTTTGTGGTATAATTAAGGGCTAGAATAACAGTAACTGTTGCAAGTGTCAGACATTTTCTATTGAAAGTAAAATTGTATTTGAGGAAATATTGCAAGCGACAAGTTTTCTTGGATTGTCGATCAGCTTTTCTGGAACTTGTAAAACGCGCAAATTTGCTCTAAAGATTAATAAAAAGGATGGCATGGGTGTAGGCAAGCCACAGTACAAAAGAGCTGACAGTAAAGTTAGATTTCGCCAGATCGTCGTATAAGTCATGTTGCAAAGTTATTGAAAAATTGCTGGTCTTACCGCCTTAGGGGCATTAGGTGGCGGTGCTGCAGCGGTTGCCAATCCAATAAATTATGATTCGATTTTTCCACAAAAACTCACCATTTTCTTTATCCTGCCGACGATGTGAAAACAAAAATCTTCATCGTACAATTAGCTCGTGTCTAGAAGAGAAATCAATAATTAAAACACGCAACAATTTTCGGATTAGATAATCACCCGGTATTATTATTTGATAGGCTATTGTTTGCAATTTTTCTCATGAAAATGGCACAATATTATGATTTCGTAATTGAGGTTATTTAATACAATTATTCTCCCTATAAAACGGTGTTATTTTACTATACGCCGCAACTATTTAGTTGTATAATCACTGGTGAATTTTCTCGAAACAACAAGGTCAACTTTTGAAATACAAACAAACAGGAAATGCATCAATTTTAATGTTATCCCATTGTAATAGGAAAAAATATCCGATTTACTTGTACCAAGAATCTAGGAAACAATTTTCTGCAGTTTAAAGTCGATTTTGATTAAGTGGCGGATACAGTGGTGGGGCAGGGCCTCTTTTTAAAATAAAATAATAAAATTGAAAAAAAAAAAAACACAAAACTATATTTTAAGTTTTGAGAATGTTTAGGAAACTGAAAACCTATAAAAAAATCTCACTTTTGTCTTTGTCTGGTTTCTAAAAATTCAGCCAAAACTGTACAACTTTTGTATTTACACCTTTCTTCTACCTGTGAAAGTGAAGGCTGTAGGTGGGGTGTCAATATATAAAAAAACACCCTCTACAAATAAGTGGATTATTGCGGAATTTATGGGTGGACCTCTGCGGGACGAGCGCAGCTAGTTCCGCAATCATCTATTCGCCAATATACTGTGAACTGTTCAAATAAGACACTCACCTAAAACGTTTAGTTTCTGAATTAATGAGAAAAATTCACAACTGAGTGAATCAGGTTAGTATTGTACTTGAACAACATATTGGTGAATAGATGGTTGGGTCCACCCATAAGTTCCGCATTAATTCACTCGTTTGTACTTGAATAACTTGTCACAATATATTACTAGTTTGGTAAAGTAACATTACAGGTCTGTTTCTGCAGAAATTACAAACCAGTCAGAGCAAATTTCATTGGTTGAAACTAGTTTTCTGACTGTTTTTAACCAATGAAATTCGCTCTGACTGGTTTGTAATTTCTGCAGAAACAGACCTACTAATCCTGTTGAAAGGTGAATTGACAAAAGGTGGATAATCTTTCAAATTCTGACTTTATATAATAAGTTATTGTTCAAGTACAAATAAGTGGATTGTCGCGGAACTTATGGGTGGACCTCTGCGGGACGAGCGCAGCGAGTTCCGCAGCCATCTACTCACCAATATACTGTTGAACTGTTTAAGTAAGACATCTACCTGAAACGTGTAATTTTTACACTAATGAGAATAACGCACATTTGAGTGAGTCAGTTTAGCATCGTAATTAGAGGTTATGTCGAACAAAACAACAGCTGATAAAGAAAAAGGGTTAAAATTCTGCAAAAAAAAATTCGTCGCTGCATTAGATTGTACTGTATGCAAGACCAGCTTTCATCCCAGTTGTGGAATTCACGTGGGGGTTGCAAATAGCGACAATAAAGTAAAAATGGAGGAAAATTGAAGTTAATATAGGAAAAAACAAATGAAAGAACTCTTGGAAAAGGCTTTTTCGTAACATTTTGTGCCCTTTATAACCAAATTGGTGAAGCAAATGAGTGAACTTAGTGTCTCCATGCAGTTTCTGTCTGACAGCTATGAAGACCAAAAAAACACAGATAAAAAGGACACTTGGTGAACTGAAGGAGCTTAAGGAAGAAAACCAAAAACTGAAGGTGAAATTGGAAGGAATGGAAGGAAGAGTGAATCTTCTTGAGCAGAGAGAAAAGGAAAGAAACGTAATGGTTTTCGGGATACCAAAACAAAATGAAGATGTAAATGAGACCATCAAAAAGGTCATCAAAGCTATGAGGATTACCATGTCAAATGGAGATGTACAGGAAGTTTTTAGACTGATGATGGACCAATACTGCTAAAGTTAAAAAGCGTTGATCTAAGAAACGCACTGTTTACCAAGATTAGGCAACTAAAAAGCATGAGTGCGGGCTGACTGGAGGGGCAAGCAAACATTTACTTCAACGAGGATCTCACTAGACAGAACCAGCTGCTTTTCTAAAAAAGTAAGGGAACTTAAAAAGGAAAAAAAATATAAGAGGGCTTATGTTCTAAATGGAAAGGTGTATCTGAAAAAAACTGAGACCTGCAAGGATCAATACTGAAGCAGATCTGCTGAGCCACTTCTGATCTACCTATTAACAATAATAAAATTAAAATGTATAAAACTGTATTAAAAATTGAAATGGCGGCTGAAAATTTGAATATTCTTTATATAAATGTGAGATGCCTTAGAAATAAAACAGATTATCTCAAAGATACAATTTTAACTGACAGAAACGTGGCTATATCCAAATGAACATAAATTCTTTTTTCCTTCATATACAGGATTACATGATTGTCGAAATACGAAAGGGGAGGAACAAGCATCTACATTAGAGATGGCATAAATTACGTGCTAAACACCAAATATGAATATGAAGCTGGAAAATGCAATATTAAATCTGTATATTTACCCAAACAAAACCTGGCAATATTTTCCATATAAGGATCATTAAAAAATAAATGCAGTATCTTTATACCAGAAATAGACAAATTACTAGAGCAACAAAAAAATCCATGCATACTAGTAGGAGATATCAATCTGGACCTCCTAAAAAGTTCAATAGCAATTGAAATAAATGATTATCAATTCCAAAATGCAATCAATAGACTGAATGCCACAAGAACTACAAAGAATAGTGCATCAATACTTGACCACATAATTACAAATAAAAATATCAGATGTAAGTTGAGATTAGAAGACCATCAAATATCGGATCATAAAGTTATATATAAAAAACAAAATACTAAAAACATACTGTGACATAAACAAATGGGAGAATCAAGTTAAGGAAATCCTGCAACAAAGTGAGATCAGTACAATTCAAAAACTATCAGAGATAATATGCAACACAAAAATAACATGTACACAGAAAAGAACTATAACAATAAGAAATAATAACAATTGGATAACTAACGAATACATTATAAAAATGAAAGAAAAAAACAGACTATACGTAAGATGAAAAAAAATACAAAATGATTGTACAGAAAATGAATTTAAAACATCGAAAAATGAGTCAAATAAACCTAGAAACAAACTATAAAAACAGTATGCTGAAAATGAATTCCAAGAATTGCAAGGAGACAACAGAAAAACCTGGGCTTTTTTGAATGACCTGTGTAGCAGGAAAATAAGAGAAAGCAAAGCAGTAAATAGGATCATAGATAAAGATAGAAATGTTCGAGTAAATTAGAAATTGCGGAACATCCGAAAGACTATGTTTGAAGGAAATGAGAAAGCTGTTGATCATAACCTCGAGAAGTACCTGAAAGACAGAGAAAACCAGACATGATCAGTTAATTATTAATTAGTATAGTAGGTTTGTTATTCTCTTATTTATTGTTAAATCAAGGCCTCGGTACCAGATTATTATAATCTGATTTGAGGTCTGAAATAAATCTTTAATAAAGAAAAAAAAATTAAACAATATATATTAATAAATAGATGGCTGCGGGACGAGCGCAGCGATGTCCACCCAGAGGTTCCGCAACAATTCACTCATTTGTACTTGAATAACTTGTTACATTATATTACTAGTTTGGTAGAGTAACATTACTAAGGCAAATTGACAAAAAGTGAATAATCATAATCTTACAAATTTTGACTTAATGTAATAAGTTATTGTTCGAGAACATATAAGTGGATTATTGCGGAACTTATGAGTGAACCTCTGTGGGACGAGTGCAGTGAGTTGCGCTGCCATCTACTCACCAATATACTGTTGAACTACTCACCTGAAACTTGTTATTTTTGAATTAATGAGAATAACTGACATTTGAGTGAGTCAGGTTAATATCGTACTTGAACAACGTATTAATGAATAGATGACTGCGGAACGAGCGCAGCGAGAGGTCCACCCATAAATTCCGCAACAATTCACTCGTTTGTACTTGAATAACTTGTCACATTATGTTACTAGTTTGGTAAAGTACTATTACTAATTCCTGTTGAAAGGCAAATTGACAAAAAGTGGATAATCTTACAAATTCTGACTTTATATATGTAATAAGTTATTGTCGAGGTTATTGTTCAAATACAGGGTGTTTTTTTATATATTGACACCCCTCCTGCAGCTTTCACCTTCAAAATTAGATGAAAGGTGTAAATACAAAAGTTGTACAGTTTTGGCTAAATTTTTAAAATCCATGGTCAAAAACAAAAATTGAATGTCAGAAATGCTAAATATTGCATGCTTTCAGCTTTTCTCAAATGGATGCCCTATATTTGGTT